TAGGGAAAGTCATGGCATATTTTTCTACGCAAAAATGCATCATAACTTTCCTAATGACCTAGTTCACTTTCTGTCTTACTGAAGGGAATAAGTGCTATGAGGCAGAGGCGATGTCTTTTCCACTTGCCAGTGTAAATTGTGTGATCTTGAAGTAACTTTTCTGAGACTAATTTTCCTTCATTATCAAATGAGGTAACAATAATAATTAAGAAAAATCCTCAATTCTCACAGGATTGTTTGGAAGAACAAATTAACATGAAATACAATAGTACCTGAAATATGATGTGTCTTATTGATTAAGTTTTGAAAGAATTCAAAATAAAGAATTCCCCAAATTTTCCTATATTCATGATCCCAAACTGGTTTTGTCAGGCTTAGTTGATCAAAACTCTCCCTTAGACTTCCATACTGGCTTGTATGGAGGGTGAAGTTTAATAAACAAATAAAGAATATTTCTTCGAAAAGAACTGAGTGAACTATAGTTCTATCCCACACCCTCATGGGGGAGAAAGAAGAATGCTTTGCCCTCAACTTAAGTTTAGGAAGGAGGCTCAAGGGACTGAACCAGTGTTTCTTGATGCATGTCTCCTAGATTGTGATAGTCATAAATCCAGATAGTTGCTTCCTCCTATAAAGTGTGAGCTATGGCTAGAAGTGTTCTAGCTGGGAGCAGAGAGATTAGAAGTTACATCAGTCAGAAGCTGCAATTCCTCTGACAACACAGAAAAGTGTATGTTTCCCATGAATAAGATGTGGTTTAAAGGAAGGAAACCAGCCAGGTCCGAATGAAAGAAACTTTACTCAAGAGGACTGCATGGATCTCTATAGAGGGGTCAACTATTGGAAGCCCTGGGCTAAGGGAAAGCCTTACATGTAGCCAATCAGAGGAAGCCTCGCTTCCATCTATAGTTCCATAGTCTAGAGTTTGCCTGAAAGAAGAGCTCTAAAAAACTCAAAGTTTCAAAGAAGGAGACAGATCAAGAAATTGCAACTTGAGGGAAACCACAGTATCATCACAAGCATACTGAAACCATATTGCAATGTCACCAACCATAAATTTATGATCTTTTCCCATGATTGTTCCCTGCACTGCCCTTTGCTCAGTTTCAGAAAGGTGAAGAAAATACACGAGATGCTGAAAGAAGCAGTAAATCTTATTTCCTTTGCCACGGCGGATTTTTTTGGCTTGAAGCAGGATGGGGCTGGGGAAGAGAAAAAAGTTTAAATAAGAGTTCAAAGTTGTTATTTTACATTTTATTCTGTTACAGTTATGGGATATATTAAACTGTAGTGAACTCTGAATTATTATAAGTGACCTGCCTGACATAGTATCAAAGGGAGGGATGAATTAGTCCCTGTAGGAGATTGTAAGAAGATAGAATACAAAACAAAATGGTGTCTGCTTTATCCAACAAACTAAATTTGAATGTATACAGAACACCTCACATAGCACTGAAATCAACAAACAGCGAAGATCTTACTTATTACACAGTAAGTGCTTTATACAAAGCATTTCTCTGCTCCCTATTTCCAATGAAATTTTTCCCAAAAGCCTAGTGTGAATGTCAAAGGTTTTTCTTAAATATTTTCCTTTTACTATGATAACTTTCTTTTTTTTAAAAAGTTACTTATTTAATTTTATTCATTATTATTATTATTTATTTTCATGCACATCAGAGAGAGAGAGAGAGAGAGAGAGAGAGAGAGAAAGCAAGCCACAGGTCCAGGACTTGAACCATGGTAGGCCATGTGGGAGTCCAGCACCTTAACCACTGCACCACCTGCTGGGCCCCGATTAACTTTCTTTTTAAAAAAGAATTATTTATATTATCATTATTATTATTAACTTACTATAGTCATTAGAAAGACACAGTGAGAGAATGTGAGGGAAATTGAGAAAGCAAGCCACGAGATCTGGGACTTGAACCACTGTTGTCCATGTGGGAATCCAGCATCATGCCACCTGCTGGCTCCATAGTAACCTTTCAATGAGTCCTTTATAGAGTAAAAACCTAGATGGGTGTCAGTCTTTCCTCAATATGATTTAGGATAGAAGAGTGATAAGGTTCTGGAAGTTTCTTCATCTAAAGGATAAAATGCAGAAGAGTGAGTTTGCATCTAGTGAGCTCTATTGATCATCTGTAGGAGACATCAGATGACCAGAGAGCAGCAGGAGAATCAGAGGTTTGCTGCACTCTATACTCAGTAAGGGCTCTTATGGGTACAATGACGGGGCTGTCTGGCATCCTGGCATTGAGCATGGATGTGGTGGGAGGCCACCTGGTGTCTTCTTTGGAGAATGTTTTGTAGATTAACATTTTTTTTTTAATGTAAAAAAATAACCTCATGCCTACATTCTTCAATGAATTAGATACCAATTCTTCTTTCTCTGCTTCTTACTCTCCAATGTGACATTTGTAGGTGAACAGGGCTTATGAGATGACCCATTTGGAGCTCCTCTCTAGAACACAACCCTTGCAGTCTCTACCTGAACCCTTACTGTAACAGAGCTCACCACATTACAAGGCTCCTTGCCCCAGAATTGGGTGGTTTTCAAAGCTTTTCTTTTCCATAAGTCAATAAAGCTGCCCAGTTACTCTTACTCTCCCTAATTCTGCCTTCTAGAGCAACAGTATTCTTTCTTATCACAGCTCTTTATTTTTCTTATTTACCCAACAAATATTTATTGAGCATTTTGTGTGAGCTTAAATTGTAAGAGTTTTCTTAAGACAAGTTGCAAGAAAAAGTTCTGGCTAAAAGTTTTAAAAGTTGTAAATTCCAATAATGAGGAACAGTACCAACTTAATGAGAGAAGTAACTAGGCATGATTCCTCATTGAATGGGTCAGAGCGCCTTCTGTGAATGAATAGAGACTAATTTCGAAGTGCTGAAGGAAAGATTTAGAAGGGAGCAATTCAATTTCATCAACCAGTTGGTGAGCCGCCAAACACTCAATTGTCGTATTTGGTTTCCAAAGATTCATCCAAAGTGTCACCCTTCTGAAGTCTGATCTAATGGAGCAATCAGAAAATGCTCAAGATCATTCAGATGATCTTGCTGGGATCATCTGAAATATTTCTTTCCAGTAATAGTCTAGGTAGAAATGTGTCTGACAGATCATCAAGCAAATGAGTACGCTGCAGTGCTATTTACAGTAGTGAGGAAATCCATGTGTTAGTAGACCTAAAAGATAATCTTTTATTAGTTCATTTAAGTCCAGAGTCTCAAAGCTTTTGCTTCCTATTAAATAAATAAGAAAAATGTCATCCATCTTAGTTTGAATTTAATCATAAGGGAGAGATATTTCTGAAAATTATGCACCTTTTGTTTTAATGTCTCTCTCCTTAAAAAAAGAACCACACACTGCTTTAATTCATCAGAAAATCAGTGCAAACACCTGGGAAATATAGAAAATATAGAGTATCAAAGAAAAAACAAGTTGAAATTTCTGAAGTTTCTGAAGACAAGATCCATCAAAAAATGTCTAGTTTCTTTTCATGAGGGAAGACTAGGTTTGATGGACAGGGAAAATAATAGTTTTGATTAACGTTGGTTAAAATGAGATTGTTCAGACTGTTAATATAGCATACTGATTTAAATGTGAAGAACTACATGTATAGTTCAAGACAGTTCTGATTCTAGAATTGTACTTTTAAAGTCTAATAATTATATTGTGAACACTGAAGGAGGGAGAGAAGTTTTGTGTTTGTATGTTTTTTTTCTTCATAAATTTGCTATAGGGAGTGTGCATTCAACAGAGAAAGAGAGAAAGGGAGAGAGGAAGTGAAAAAGCACCCTTCAGGGGGATGACTATGTTGTAACCCCTTCCTTTCCATTTTCTTCTCAGGATTTTTGGGCATGCATCTCCACATCTGGAATGTTTTTCGTCAGTAGGCCCAGGATTTCAATGACAGAGTTGGTCACATGAGATCAAGCTGCTTTAGCCACTATGCCCCTGGCTGACCAGAGAGAAGAAAGTCTTATTCAGTGTTGTAATCTGTCTGTAGCAGACTTCCTGGCCCAAAAGGTATAAAGAAAATATAGTAAAAAAGTAAGTTTTCTTCCCGCATGGCTTCCTTTTCAGAGGCAATTACTGTTGCCAGTTACTCTTCTAGAAATATTCTGTATTTATTCAAGCATATTGTTTGTTTTCATTTCTCTTTTACAGAAATGATAAAGCATATCTATCGTGCCTCCCCAGTGTAGGTGGTTTAACAGTATATGCAGGGGTTTTGTTCTATTCAGTATGTTTATTTCATTTATTAAATTTATTCATTTGGTCAGTACATTCATTTTGGCCCCTCATTTTTGTATATTGATGTATTGAATTTCTTGGTATTCTTCTTTGTTCATTTAGCTTGTTTCATTTTGTTTTCTACTAGGGGCACTATTGCAATTAACTTTGCTATTTTACCCACAGGTAAGTACATTTATTGGATAGATTTATCCCAAATTAAAGATATTTTAACTGTTTTTGTTGCTTATTTTTCCCTATGTTTTGTTCATTTTGTGAGTTATTAGAGGATACAATTTTGGTGAAATTAACTTGCTCTCATAACCTGGAAACTAGTTTCGTAGGAGTGTGTGTATTTTGCTTGTCAGGAAATTTTCCCAATAGGCATTACTTTTTATTTTGACCTTTCCATTATTTTTATACCCATTTTTTCTTATATCTCTGAGATATAAGAATCTGTGTGATGTGCTGGGTGACATATACCTGCCAAATTCTATTCTGTTTCTGAGAGTTCCATCTGTCTACCTTCAGGTCACTTTTATTGACATAAAGGAAGAAAGGGAAACTATTCTAAAGAATAGTTAAATGGCCATTAAGAATGAGCTCAATAGGGCCAGACAGTAGGCCCAGCCTAACAATGATTTATTTAATAGAGATAAATATGAATTTATAAATATACACTTAAACATCAATTATTCTATAATAGAATGTAATATATCTGATAATGGCACATATAAAGTATTTAACTGCTTCTGTCCTTGATATGAACCAAGAAAAAGATTCTTAAATACAAGGCTAGCACAATTTTGTATTACAGTAACAAAAGTATAGTATGGTGCCCACACATGAAATTCACTGTGATTTGTGCTCATATGCACATAAGGAATCTCTATACTCAATGATGTGTATTGTCATTTAGGAGAAATACTGCTAAACTTGCAAAAATGTATAGGTTGAAAACGGTGGGATGGGTGTCTTTAAATGATGAAGTAGCAAGAGTGATTGATGAACTGGGAATATCTTAGTCTAAAGGAGAAAGGCCCAAGAAGAGACTTGACAGCACCATACAAATGCCTGAAGTACTCTCCTATGGAGTTGTGCACTGTTGCTGGAGAGGGTAGAAATTACATTAGTGGATAATTTTAGAGGAATTCCATCTTTTAGCCCAATTATAAGGGGAAAAAAAGAATCCAATGATTAAAGCACATTCCCAAGGGAACAGCTACCACTAGTGTTACAAAATTATTTCTTCCCAGACTACTAAAGCAGAAGTCGAGGTCTTGGTCCACATATGTTTGGTGAATATATGCTGATGAAAATATCTGTCCAGTGGTATTACAAAAATCTATGTATCTGTACATTTCATATTCTATATTATGATCACCATCTTCCTTGACAACATTCCATGTCTCTATCCCCATCTTTTATTATTATACTCAGACAATGTTTAATTAATATTTTGTTAAATGGGGCCAGCATGTGGTGTGGTGGTTAAGGTGCTGGACTCCCACATGGCTGATCACTGTTTGAGTCCCAGACCTGGCAGCTTATTTTTTCACTTTCCCTCTCTCTCTGATCAAATTTTTAAAAACAGATGAATAAAATTAAATAATTATTTTAAAAATATATTTCATTAAATGCATGAGTAAATGTATATATTTTGGGGACCAGCAGATGGTGTAATGGTTATGTCACTGGACTCCCATTTGTTCATTTGGATTGTTTGATTTTGTTGACCATGGTCACCATGATTCAAGTTCCAGACCTGGTGGCTTAAACTTACTCCAGGCTTGTGTGCATGTGTGCCCAAGATCCCAAGAGGAAAATGGAGAAGGGATTGCGGTGTGGCCATCCACCTGGGGGGGAGATTTCTCACTTTCTGTCTCTCTGTCTCTCTCTGTCTTTCTGGGGAGTGCACGCACCCTATAGCAAAAACCTCTCCAAAAAAAAGTGTATATATTTTGAGAGATTGGGATATCTGACACCTGAGAATTCTTGTACATTGAAATTCTTTTGAACTGGTACCACATCCAATTGATTCAAATGCATGAAACTGAAAGTAAATTTTCCAATTTGACTCAACAACTCATGAAAATGCAACAAATATTTTTAGTTCCCTGGGAAGAAACAAACTTTTTCTAGGCATAACCTTCTGCATTCACCACTATACAACACTGACTCACCCAGAAAAATGTGCTTAGTTTGTTTCCTGTGTCATTTTTACTCTTTCTTCTTCTCAACTGCTCTTTTTTCAGCCTTGACCGATTATTTTCAATCTCGTGTAATATCATTCTGCATTGTGTAAATTTCCAAGTTTCAGAAGGCTGTTGGTGAGAATTTATAACTGGATAATCTATAATGTCTTCCATGTATAAGAATGGTAATTGGCTTTTTTATGGAAATTACAAACTAATATTTTATCTTTCCTATTAAGTTTTCTGTATAGGTTAAAGTGCCCATAGTATCTAGCTGCTATTGAATTACACTCAAAGATAATGTGTATGTAATGCAGGGCTTTTGACTAATTGCTTAAAAACATTAGGACTCATGGTGGATGAATAAAATACTGCAAGCCTTAATTTTATTGGATCTCAATGTTCCATAGAAAGAGAAGAACTTGTAGGACATTGGTTGATGAGTTGGAAAACCAAAATGGATTTAGTTAGGAGACTGTGATGAACTAAGCATGAAATCAGGGCCAGTCAGCCAAGGAGCACTGCATTACCTCAGTCTAAGTGAATGCCAGTGTTCTATGAAAGCATTTGAAAGAAAAGCCAAAACTTCTTTGTTTTCATTCCTTTGACTAAGCATTTATAAGTGCTTGACTTCATGTTTTTGAAATAAAATATTTATTGAGTGAATGGATTATTATTTAATGCATTTATTTTTATTAGAAAGTAAACATGGGGTATCAGCAAGTGGCATAGTGGCTAAGGCACTGGATGCCAAATGGCCAACCACAGTTCAAGTCTCGGATCCCATGACTTGAAACCCACGGTGGGCATGTGTGTGAGCATGCCCAGAATTCCTAGAAGAGAATGGAGGAGAAGAGATTGCCATGTGGCCACCCTCTCCTCCCCGGGAGGTTGATTTCTCACTTTCTGTCTCTCTCTGGGCAAGTACATGTGCTCTATAGCAAAAATCTCTTGGGATGGGGGGAAAGAATGTACTTGGAAGAAGAAAGAAGAGCACGTAAGATGAGTTGGCATGGATGTACCAAATATCTCTATTTAATATGTCCATTTAACAGTTAGGTAAAGTAAGGATTTAAACTTAGGTCCTGGCTCTAAATCATAAAGTCTTTCACTAAATTGCTTTGCTACTGATCATAAATTAGAAAGATGTACAGTCAGAGTATTTACCAGGGAAAGACATGTCCTTTTAAAACTTTAAAATACATTACATTGTGAATACTCACAGCTATTCACAGGGTTTGTTGTGTGGCTAATAAAACTTTGAAAATTACAAAACCAATGCTACATCTTGTACTCTGACTTTTTCAAAATCTGAAATTTTCATGGTAAAATATTTTGGCTTTAAATGTTTGTTCAAGGAGCCACTGATCATAAATTCTCTTGAAAAATTATGGAAAATTTCCAAAAATTATGAATTAGCTTTAAACAGCAAATAAACAAAAAAGGAAAACAATAAACCAATAGCTTTGTTTGATCTGAAGGACAGATGAGAGGAATGACATTTCCAAAAGCATTTAGCAAATACAATCAAATGATTTACTTTCATAATGTCATAATGCACAGAATAGTGAATGTGGCAGCATTTGCAGTTTTTCATTCATAAAATTTTTTTCATGAATAAATCATTTGCAAAAAGTTCTCAGGACATACATCATGAAGACTCACTAAACATTGAGTTGTCTGGAGAGTCATGATGCATTTTCGCACAGAAAATGTAGGAAACATGTCATTACTTTCCCAATGACCTAATATTAACTTAGAGAAAGAGCCTCTCAATCATAAGCACATGTCTTATATCCAGAAATAAACAATGTGCATACATGAGAAATTCTACAGGAGAGTGCTTGAGAACTAGGCAGAATTAGTAAATGTGTTGCTCTTCATCTAATTAAAAAAATAAAAATAAAAGGACTGGGCTGGCTCCATGGCACAGAGGTAGTGTACTGCTCAAGGGAAGCAGTTCCCACTTGGTAACTGCAGTTCAGATCTCCAGCCTGGTCAGCCTGAAACATGCTCATAAGTGCCCAAGATCAGATAGACTGGAGGACTGCAGGAAGGAGAAGACTACTCCCTATGAAGAGTGTTCATCCTGCTAAGTGTTCTCTCTCATACTTGAGTGTGCATGCACGTGTTCTATCACACATAAAGAAAGAAAAGATTTGTTCTTTGGAAGACAGAGTGTGGCGATCGAGCTACAGATTATTTCCAAGACTATTTTCTTGGCTTAACATAAATAGCTTGGCTGTATCCTTCTCATTTTGCATATATTATCCCAATAAAAGGTTGTACTATACATGCACTCAAGCAAATCTCCTTTTGTACCCAAGGAACAATTTTTGTAATTCAAAAGGACTGGAAAAATTTAAGCACAAAAAGGAAAATAGAGCGTTTTGAGACCTCACACAAGACAGATAAATTTGCCATTTGTGCTAAATGGAGCCAAACTACTTTTCAGAATGGCCCTTTACCATGAACGGGTCCACCTACCACTTGGAACTCAGAGCCCAGGATGTGGGCCTGAATAAAAAGTAAAGTGTGCTTTGCATTCTGAGATTCACTGGCCCATCCATTATAAAGTGAATGCACATTATAATTTACCTCATGGCAAGAAACATAAGGAATGCCTGGCATCCCTTGACGTGTAAATGGTTGAGTACCAGTAATCAAACCAGCTGTATAAACTTTGCGTTTTGTTTCTACCAGAGGTCTGGAAAACTGCTTGGTCATGAAGAGCTAAATTCTAGACAACTAAAATTTTGCCAACCTAAACATCCCCAAATTATTGTGGTTAGGTAGTAGTCCTATTTGTTAAAAGATACTGTGAGCAAAACCACGTAAGCATGGAGGGAAAG